AAACGAAAAAAGAAAACCAAATGAAATGCGCAGAGTAGGTGTGAGGAAATTTTAACACCGGTGCTCGTGCCAAATTTACCGCGTGAAGACGCAACTGAAAAATTCTTACAGGTCGAACGTATTATTCTCATCAAACTACATCCTTAGATTACTCTGGCGCTGTTGAAGAAAGCAAACAACTGTTTGTGTGTTAAAATTAATTAGGGACTTAGAAAAAATCACGACGGTAACGGCAACTGTAGCGTCACCATATATAAGGTTAATGAGCAGAACAATGGCAGAGCACGTGCGTTATAATTCTTGGTACATTACTTTGCCGTCCTCTGCAAAATAACGACGTGAAATGACCAAATTCTTATTTCAAAATTTCCATTTCGAATTCAAAGCTGTTTTACATATTCATTTTCAGAGAGTTTCGACAGTGATAAACTAACTAAATGACTTTTTACAGTATCGCAAGATTCGTAGGTAAAGTACAAATTCATTGTTAATTGAACTAATCCTCAGCGTCGCCGTCGATTACTTAAATGTCCTTATATTAAAACTCACTTGGGAAAATGGAGCTAAATATAGTAAAGTAAAACGAATGAGTGCGATTTCTTTTTTAATCTACGGGGTCAAAAGCAACGGGTTAAGAAAAAAACGCCATGCTAGGCGAGCTCAATTATCGAAAAGACATGAAGTTAGTAGGGGGCGGGGGTGGCTTGCAGAAATATCGCTAATATATCCTCTAGCATTTTACGGTGTCACTGAAGGCCCAGTGAGGCGGCTTCAGAACTTTCTAGCCGGAAAGTAAAAAAATCTGAGCACAATTTTTATCGGGCCCTGTCAAGTGAGAAGTGTACACTTACTTTCTTGAGGTGGTAACCTCTGTGGTACTGGGGGAACTCCCTGAATTTCTAGGCTGTTAAAAAAGACAATAAACGCTACTCTTACAGTGTCTCTCTCCGCCCAGATGTATAAATGGTTACAAGTGAATTTAAGGCTGGGAAGGAAAGGGGGTAGCCTTGCGACTGAGACGAAAACCGGGATAATCTCCGGCAAGATTAGACATTTTGGCGCGACGCAGACTTCACATTACATTCTGACCTCAAAATCAAACTAAACTCGTTATCCTAAGTGCTAATAATAGAGCAGCTATGACTAAGCTATATATTAGACAGACCTGGCTGAAGGCTGTCCCACGATCTTGGTCTGCCTCCACTCGTCCATGAATTCCATGGATATTTTCTCGTTACCAAAGTTATCCACAAGAGATTCAAGCAGCCCTGGAGTGTTCCTGCACGCTCACGACATCAGCCGGGAAGCAGTACGGTCAAAGGAAAGGTAACCAAGGGCAACGGCGGCGCTGCTGCGAACTTCTTCGTTCAGCGACGACAGATTTGCGAGGAGTGCTTCCATAGAACCTGAACAGCATATAAATAAGAAAACATGGCACGAGTTAGCTTAGGCAAGAAGAAAGATTAGTGTTTAACGTTACAGTTTTTGACCTGGAAGGCATGTCTATAGTGAAGATGTACTAAAGAACCCAACTCAAACCAGCGCGTCAAGTACAGTAACTTGGTTTAGGATTTTGAAAAGGAGGCAGAACCACTAGCGTTCATTTGAATTGCCACACACGAGGTTTTTATACACAGACCTAAAGGTTAGAAACACTTACTAGAGCTTAGTACCACATGGAAGTACTGCTCAAAAGCTTTCATTTGAATGTTCACACACTAGGGCTTCTTCCACAGATTTAAAACGTTAAAACCATTTTGTACAGCATAACAAACAGTGCCACATGAAAGTACTGCTCAGTAGCTCTCATTTAAATTTTTACGCACTAGGGTTTCATTAACAGTCTTAAAAGATAACATCACATTAATTTACTCTGGGCTGTAGTCAGAATAAGTTTGCAACATGTTTTACTTCGGCGCGATGTCACTTTACAGATAACCCATCCTTTACTGAGTATTTACGTACCAGCCATGATCAGTGCCACAGGGACACCAGCCTGCGTGTGGCCGAGATTGGATGACAAACTGGCGGCGAGTATCTGTGTGCTGTGCTGCTCAGAACTGAGCAAGCGCACTAGTAATTCCACACCGCGTGCTGTTAAGGTCACCTGATAACTTTCGATAAAGCGCGCCAAGATGATGATCTGAAAAGCCGCGTGGGCCTGGTACAATTCGTTCTCAGACCCCAGGAACTCTTCGAGGGCTGTCAAAGAGATTCCGCCGGTGTTTTTAACGGCATACTGCTGTGAAGTGTTGTTGTAGGCAAATGTTGCGGGCGCCATGCCAGCTTTAAGTCGAACTGTTTCTTTCTTGTTGGAGAGGTGATGAAGAAGTTCCACTGCACGAAACTTTGTCTGCTCTACAAGAAGCTTCTGTGTTTGTGAATTATTGAAAACTACCTTTCAAAACGAATCAGGTCATGGGCGTTACCTACGATGTAGTTCTACTACATGTAATTGCAGGAGAAAGAAAGCTAGCGCGATTATTTTTCGTAAGTAAAATTTCATTCATTTTCAGAAATTAAACTATTTTGCATCTGAAAGTGAGTCAAAAATGATAACCAAACACTTGTTTTCCTCTAACCAGTTAAACAAATCTATCAGAGCGTGACTGCTTTACTCAAGGGCGTTTTCAAATGACGAGAAAATTCGGCAGCAGGACATTAACCTTTACTGTCAATTCAACCAATCAACACGCTATGACTCTATTGATTGCCTAATCACAGAAGACCTACTTCGTGGGCGCCTTCAAGTGGCGGGAAAATTCTTAAACCACACAATGACCACTGACCAGTAACCATTGAAATTCAGCGTCTGTTAAACGCCGCGGCTCTGTTAATTAACCAATCACAAAAAACTTCCTTAAAATGCGGTGGCCACAAAGAAGCCCTGTTTAACAAACCGCAAAACCAACCTGAATGAGCGCCTTTTTTGACGTGCGCAGGAGACGAATAAGCGTAACAAGCGCTTCAGTATTTGTTATCTCAAGCTGGGTTGATTTGTTTGACTGATGGGCCACGCCTACATACAGGATGCCGAGAACACGAATCACCATTAACAGGACCTGTAGCCAAGAAAATATAGATGTTAAAAGGAACATTTACTACCAAGTCACTTCTTCACAAATTGAGGACTATTTTCCTGCGTTCACTACAAAGTTAATAGGCACTATCTCACGACAGTGTTGGTGGAATGAATTACTTTACGAGCTATAAGTAAACAAAAGAACTTCAACCTACGCTATTACAAGATATTTTGCAAAGTTTTCATAAGCTTCATGTCTGTGCGTTTGTCCATATTGTATTATTGCACTTCATTTTCTGTTTTGCCATCACTAGCCATCTTTGCTTCTTAAAGGGTTCCTCTTATTTGTCAAGCACTGTTCCACAACCCAACTGACTTTTATCAGGTTATCACCGATTATTCATAGTAACAAAAGTGAGGGAAAGAAATTGGACAAAAGCCACATGTTCCATATAAACTGTATACAGTAGGCAGCTGGGCGGAATGAAATGATCCCATTGTCTTGGAAAGGTATCTCCACTGAAGACTGTCCCGCACTGCCGTTCCTCCCCCCTCCCCCTTCAAGCCCCTCCAAAGGGGCATTGTGGAGAATGCACATACAGTCAGGACATATTTTACATTTTTCTCAACAGTTGTAGGGCCTTTTCAGAGGTCTTGGCTGATCTCAAGAGCCTCACTAGAGGCTGCACTCCGCCTCCAGCCACAATCTTGTTCTGATTCTCAATGTTCTCTGTAGTTAAAGCAATGATGGCAATGCCAGCAATAAACTGTATAGTTTCTGATTTGAGCATCAACATGTCGACAAGGATGTTAATTCCAATCATGCTGGCGATACGCTGCTGCTGATGCCGCGTGACACCTGCCAACGCCCACAGAGCACTGGCACCTGCAACATGGAAACATATAGCTCATGAAATGATTGGCTCCGGAAAATGTCCATATCTACCCCAAGGATGGCTTCTGGAAATTCCAAAGGGGAGGGGTCTCAAAAGCCAATTTTTTTAAAGGAAAGTATGAATCAAATTGGAATTTCCAGGGGGATGGGGAGGGGTTTAAACCAAGAAAGCCTCACTGTGAAATTTATGGATGTTTTCTGGAACAGCATAATGCATGGGAAGAAGTTGTTTGTGATGTATGCTAAGGCATACATTACAATTTATTACATTCATTTACATTATTATTTATGCATACAGCCTGTGGAAGGTGGTAATTTACTCAAAGGCACTTGCAAGGCAAGGGGGCAGGTAATGTATGCAAAGGTATACGTGTGTCTTGTACATATGCAAAGAGTGTTTAATAAAATCATGTAAAGCCATGCAATTAATATCTTTATTAATTTTGTTTGGAGGAGGGAGGGTTGGGGGTTTGTAATTTTTCAAACTAGTTTAATTTTCAGATATCAATAATAACTACAAGAAAAAAAAGACAATAAAAACCAAACTGGTTTGTACGTATAAAATAATGTAATGCTAAATACACACAAAGAATATTTACCAAAACATAAAAAGATATTATCATGTGGGTTGCATGTACTTTAAGGTGGTGTATGCAAAGACATGCATGCAATACACATTTTATTGTTGTGTGTTGAATTTTCTTTTGGATTAACATTTTCTAAACCAATTTGATTTTTATTTTCCCTTTATTTTTGAATCAACACCAGAAATATGCCTCCCCCTCTCCTTCAAAAAAAAATTCTGAAAAAATATCCTCGGATTTTGGGTTCTTAAAATGCACAAATCTTGTTCTTTGACTTCAATGGCCCACATTTTCAAAAGCCTTATAAGAGGCTTTTGTGCATCAGCTGCATCAATCTCTTTCTATGCCTCAGGGTTAAATTACTCGACTGATATCCAAAACATCTCTTTTGGGGAAAGCGAAATATTTTGGAAACAAACGATTTTAAAATAAAACTCATCCTAGATACAGGACTGTTATGAAATTCAGTCAAAAATCGGCAGACGCCTTTATCTACATTTTTCGTATTTCCCCACTTCTTTTTGTGTCATATTGCCCAACTGGTCGTCAACAACTTAGGGTCTTTTTTTTTGTACTTATCATTTCCTTCAGGAATACATATCCTTGGGAATATACTAGGACAATATGTACATCAATTTTGACGGCTCTTCACTCACGGTGTAACTTCCTTGAGTCAACTGACACGTACAAGTGCATGACTTGATTGACACTAGTCAATAATTTTCGCTCCTGAGTTGACGGTAATGTTTGCTTGTCTTCAGGAATACATCGACATGCGAATGTACGAGGATCATTTGTACATTAATTTCGACAAGATGTCGGGGACTGCTGTCAAAAGAGCGAGTCGAAAGAGTGGCTAGCCCGCGAGCAATTCCAAAAATCAATTTCTTAAAATTCTAATGAGCATGCGTGTCACGCGTCACGAATAACATCGTAACGCGACAACTATGCAATCAAAATCAGGGAGCGCAAATCCTCGTAAATCAGCCATGTGACATCAAAAAGTAATCATCAACGACTTCCGTTCACCTGCGAATAAACGCTGAAAGAACCTTGCATTCATAATGAGAGAGCTGAACAACACTGCTTGGTTTCGACAGTTGCGAAGAAAACCTCAGCTAGTTACTCCAGGAATCTCAGCTGCGCGAGTGCTTCTGGGACCGTCTTGGTAGACGCGGGAAATTTCAAAATGGCGCCAACTAGCGTGCAAAGAGAGGGAAAATATATCATTTACAATATGGAATCAAGATTTTGTCTCGACTTATAACTTTATAATAACTTGAAATACAATAATATTAAAGATTCATTTAGTCTTAAGGGCAACAAGGAACATTTGACACATAAATTCATTCCCGTCGAAATTTTTTGAAACAAACGCCATATTGACTGTTAACCAAAACGATCCCAGGCTTCCTCGCGCACTGAGGTAGTGCCCAGTCTTCTCGTAGTTTCCAGAATTGGACATTGGTGTTGGCGTTACAATTGTACAGCGGTGTCTTAAGACAACAACATGCTCACGGAACATCGAAACGAACAGTGTCATTATGCTTTCCTAGACGTAAAGCTGAAATGTATATAGAATGCAGAAATGTTTATTATTTTAAGACGCTAAATAATTACGTAGGGCAACGAATCAAGAGATAGAACAAAGGGAGAAACATTAACGGAACGGTTATTTTAGTCCGTTCTTTTGGCGCGATGCTAGATGTGTCACGTTTTAGTGACCAAACATTGTTCTTGTTTCAATATCGAGAAATCTTATCTGACAAAAAATTGCTATGCTGATTCACTCGTGTAATTCATTCAGTATAACTCCTTATTAGAAAGTGTTTCGTCAAACCACTGTCGGAAAAACCTAACTGAACGAACGAAGAGCACGAGGCATTGATGCTCGTTGTGAAATTTTCTTTTCACGAACAATAAAGTCTATGAGGAAATATCCCGGCCCAGACATATTTGGATATAATCTGAAGGCCCTGACACACAGTACATTAATCGTACGCAGTGCTCATGCAGGCCACGTGTATATCAATACTCTAGCTGACATGGGCATGGATCGCTCGAGAGCGAATTTTTTTTTTTTTTTTTGGTCGAAATTCTTTTTCGGGTCCGAAGACCCAAAAATATCGGCACTGACCAATTTGAAGCCACACGACAAGGCTAAATTCTTGTGTAAACACGTGTAAAACGCTTTTGTAAACAATGATAAAGCATTGCGGTGCATTAATTTCCTTAAACAAACACGCAGTTGACATGTTCTTTGCAATTGGGCGATTTTGGAAATCTGCCTGCCCCACCCATACACTTCGGCGTCTTTAATGCTTTTGGGTGACTGACAAATTTTTACATAATTTGCTCGTAGGGGTCACACTAGGAAAAGCTCCAATTTTGATCCAATTTTTGGTAAAACAAACCGAATTCGCTCTGGTGCGACCCATGCCATGGTTCAGCGGCTTTCAGCATAAAATTGCAAATTTGTCTCTTTGTCTCGCAATTACCAAAAGTGACTTGGTTACAAATAAAACACCACCAAATATAGAAATTTACCCCGAAACACTCAGAGACAACGTTCATTAGAAAAGGTCTTTCAACGAGCGAGGACCTTTTCTAATCGTTGTTACCCTTTGTTTACCCACTACGGCTAGTTTGATCGCTGTTCTGCCTGAATAAGTTTCAATGGAAGCCTCACACTTGCGCAGTTATGACATTGTCCTTGTAGGCCTCCTAGAACACTGGAACAAAGTTCAGTTGTCTCCCGCAGTATAGTCCACTACTCAGAAATTTATTTTGTGCAACTTTTGCTCTAACTGTTGGATAAATCAGCTCTGGAACTTTAGGCCTTTAAATTCAGCAAAAGGTAAGTATTTATTCCTTTCAATTCAGTCGATTAAATAAGTTGTCATTTGTATTTTGCATGTTTTCATCTGATGCAAGTAAGAGGTGCTTACAAGCCGCTGGTTTCAGCCTCTGCTAACCAAAACGTTCATAGTAAAGGAAGATAATTAAAAAAAAACTTTTATCGGGATTGTTTAAGTTTGGAATCGAAGTGTATAAAAACATTGGCTGATTTGCGGAATGACCGGAATCTTATTATGCTTTGTGATCAGATTGTTTTTTGCGGCTAGATTTCTACTGTATCTCCTCCTCCCCTACTCGCATCTCTCGCTTCTTCAGTCTGGTATTTTCGTTATGTAACAAACGTTTTCACTAGCACAGTTCATTCTATTCAAGCTATTCTAGTCATTCTCGTGCACAGCCAGTGAAACAAATTCATAATAATTCTTCACCTGTGATGGATCTCATCTTGACAGCTGACAGTTTATCAAGAAGCTATGGCATTACATTATTGCCTGGGGTTGTGCTAGTATTATTTTAAATTGTCTTCGTACTAAAACGAGTAAGTGTCTTCTGAGCATCTTTGCACAAGCTAGGGAGAGTGCTGGACCCTACTATAAGCTCTTAGGATTTCTTAAGCTAGACAATATCATGTAAATTCAGAATAAGGTTCCGTTTACATAAGATCAGGAATGATAGCATTTAGGTTCTTCTCTGATGTCCTGCTGACTTCAAGCAATGTTCACAAATATAACACAAGATTTGGCGAACGGTAAATGCGGGACTTTGCGAGACGGCGAGACAAGCGTTTTTCTGTGCGAGTCCGAGACATTTTGGCGTTTTACATTGCGAGACCGAGACTTCAAAGTGTTTTGAGTGCGAGTGCGGGGAGTTCAGATTCTTCGAGCTCCAGATTTAGTTGATAGTTATAAGAATGAGCTAGAATGTGCTTGTACAGAAGTCTTACAAAGAAGCCTTTTGTCGTAAATACTTGTGCTTTTACACAGTTCAACAGGGGACAACAAAAAAGTTATCCGACTTCGTGACTTCATGAGCTATCGTGGGTTATGTGGTTTCTTGATTCCCTATTTAGCCTTTTGGTCAGCTTCTGCAAACAAGATGGAACTGGAAATTCGACTATAAAACACTACGTTATGGTATCCTAGAACAAAATAACTGCTGGCGCCAAAACGACGTAGTGAGAAGTTTTGTAGCTTTTTGTGGAATTCAGATAATTTAGGAGAAGTATACATCAACTTTTTCTCGGAAATTTGAAAGTTAAATTCATTATCAAGTGACTAAGAAGAGGTCATTTATAAAAACAAACAAACAAGTCGGCACTTCGAGGCCATTAGCCTTGCAAAATATCGAGACTTCGAGAGAACTTCGTATAAAAATCGAGACTGCCAGACGCACAATTAACGACACTGCGAGATACGTGAAATTCGATGAAAATTTTGCGAAACCTAGGGTTTTTAAAGGACCATTCGCCAACCCTTAAATTCTTTTAGGCCAAAAGTTTCGACTAATATTGGTAAGTCAACCTATAGGTATTCTGGCTCACAGACTTGGGAATCTATACCGCTCAGAATTCAGCATTAATCCAACAATATCTTTAAGAAAGAGTGCAAATGTCACCTACTGAATAACCCAGCTTGATGTTGCTGCTGTCGTGGTTTACTTCGCTGTTTGGTTTTGCTATTATAGTGAATGTGAATGTAGTGTATGTATGTTGTAATGTTGTGTATGTGGATCTACATGCAGGTTAGCTGAATTGATTTTTTTTGCTGCCATTTACTTGACCATGGTGGTGTCCAACCAGAAAGCTTTTGCTTCTTTGGCCACCGCTCACAAATAAATTGTATTTCCTTACGATTTTGTATTTCTTAACATTTTTTTTACTATCTTCATTACGTTACCTACAAATTGTATCTAAAATGCCCTGTGTGGTGTAAATAAAAAAAACACTAAATTGAATTGAATAGAAGCTGCATTGAACTGACTTGTGTTGCTAAAACAAAGATTAATAATAATAATAATAATAATAATAATAATAATAATAATAATGATGATAAACAGCTTTCTAGTGCAATAGGTGCGGATCCATACCATTTCCACCGTTTAACGGAAATCGGTCAGATTTTTCAGAATATGATAAAAAAAAAAAAAAAGACAGGGAAAAAGGGAGATAAAATCCAAAACATTTATTGGGGGAAGTTGGCCCGGACCTTCTAGAAGCTAACTGCGCAACTGTGATCTCGTTATTTAAATGCGCTCGATTCTCACCTTTCGCTGTTGTTGGTCAATGAAAAATTGCATTTCTGTCCCGTAGTTTACCACAGTTAGTTACATTCCAAGTAAAATCCATATGGGAGGGTGAATATTTTTTTCTCCATTTTAGAATACGCAGGAGAAAGCTGCGTTTAATCAGGGGCCAATTCACAGCGTGGGCACCATCGTCTGATAGCCCCACTCTGTCGTCTGCATGTTTGCACGAGATCGTCACCAGATCGTAAGTGGCCCTAATGTGAGAGAAAAAAATAAAAATAAACGGCAGTATTTGCTACTTGTCAATCTTTGTTGGGTATGTGCCGCTGGCCTCTCAGAACCCCTACCCCATTATAGTCATATTCTATGGCCAATTATAGACCCTATCTTAGTCACTTTTGGATAAATGTAATTTTCAAGACCCCAACTTAGTCACTTTCTGTTTTTGCGTCTATCGTATAAATCCTTTTAACTAAGTCTTTCTAAAATAAATTGACACATTTAATAAACTGAATCAGGAGCCATAGTCGGGGACGGAGACCGTAAGCGCGCGCCATTTCTAGTAATGGGGTTGTCCCCATGATATGGGACAATAATTCTATTTTAAGAACAAATTGCACCATCGCCTGCGGCACACGCGCGTACATGCTGCGAGGATTTTTGCGGATGTCGCGCGGGGGAAATGGCCTCCGAAATTCCCGAAAT